CAACATTCACCAGTTTTTGGATCGGATCTTAAAAGGTTATAAAGTATTTCGTCGCGTTAGCTCTTCTTTTGTCAATTCAAGGTATTGAGTTATTACAAATGTAACCAAATATAATATGATACAGGATATCCGAGGTTTCCGAAGCCACTAAGACTCTGGATATAAATATCCAGAGAACAATTTTAATTAAAGTAGCGCCAATTCTCTGATTCGTGGTGAGGACGAAATTGTCTTTACTGTGTATGAATAGTTTATTATTACAAAATAGCACGGTAGCAAGTTTGGTCCAGCGTCACTCCAGGGACCACTCCGTGCCAACTACGCATCACGAGCTAGTACTGGGGTCCCAACAACTCATCGTTTCCTGAGTGAAGGTTTGGAATTTATTCAAACATGCAAGTCGCTCAAAATCAATTTTTTTCAGTTCAAAGAAATAATGTTGTTTTTCAGAAATATCGAGTCATGAATTCGAACATCCTGTTAAACCGGCTTTCTAACATATACACGTTGTATTTCTGTATCATGTGCTTTGGCATTCAATGAGAACGGATGGAATCGTTTAGCGGTCTCCTCTAGTCGCATCACTGACACGATCATCAAACATACCGACTGCACGAGATCAATGATTTGACACTTGCGATTTAATTGGATCAATAACGTTAGTAAGAATAAGTTCCAGTTCACCAAATTGGTTAGCTTTAACAAGAAATGCACCAAACCATATTTTCTCTCCATTGGCGCTAATTCTCAAGTAGAGAACTGTTTCCCAAGTGATAACCAAGGTTTCGTTGAAAGTTGAACCAGCAGTATTTTTATAGTTTCATTTTATAAACCACGTTCAGTATACTGCATATTTAGTAAATTCGAACCGAATATACCGATCTTGATCGATTCACCAAACTCATTTTTTCAAAACCCCCAGGCAACATCTATATTTTCAACGCAATGGTTTCGCACCAATAGCTCTGAGAAGTTCAAAAGTTGTAACGAGACTTAATGTTCTCCAGGATGCTACGAAGCAGCCAGCCATCGCCGTCTGTGAGCGAGAATTCTCCATCCATGACGCAGACAGGGTAATCCGAAGGCTTGTTCTCATTCAGGTACATCTCCGGCAAACCGAAACCATGGCCAATCTCGTGAAGCAGTACCCTCATCTGCTCCTGGTCCATGGTGTTGAGCATGTCGTTCACTTGGATACGCTGACCCCAGTCACTGCCCGTGCCAGCGGCGTTTTCCCCCGGTATGGTCGACGGCCAGAGCGACATGTCGAAGGGGTTGCCCTTACAGCCGCTCGTATCGGCACTGGCAGCTTGATTCTGGTGCTTGTAGCATTCATCAGGGCATTTGGGGCTGCCCTCAGCGTCCAAAAGACCCTCGTAGATCGTACCAAGCGAGTCGTCGCTCCAGTCCATGATGGACTTGTCTTTCACAGCGTATCCCACAATATCGATGTCGATATGGTCGTACGGCCAACATCCATAGCCTACGAGCCAGTGGTTCCAAAGGTTGATCTGCTTCTCGAGCATCGCCTGGAACTTAGATGCCGTGGCCTTGGTCAAAGGCAAATCGTTGTCCCAGCGCACGCAGTAGTTGAGCTTACCCTTGTTGGTCACGAGCTGGTCGAAGATGAGGTTATTGAACTGGGGCACGTACTTGGACATGGTGTTCTCCCAGACCCAGTCCACCTGATCGCGGGTGACTCCGCCCTTATTGGGGTTGCCAGTGACGCACTTGCCACTGCCGGATGTAATGTCACCAAACGTGGCATGGTCGACCGAGGTGGAGTTGTTGCCTTCC